TTCGAGGGCACTTTTCAGGGACTATCCTAGACCCCATCAAAATGGGACTAAAGTCTAGTTACATGCGGTTGGAGTGTTAACACTTTCATGGCTAGCTTTGGCCCAAATGAGCCCAAAAGGACCTCAAAAATCTTACAATCCACACAATGACAGCAGCAGCACAGCCAAGTGTGTTATCTGTTGCATGAAGCATGAGAACTCTCAGCAATCACAGAGTAGTACCTCAGAGTAGAACCAGCAGTCATGGAAAGAAAGCCCCTAGCTGCCCAGATCCTACATGCCTCGGGCCAGATGCGGATTCACACCAGACACTGCGTTTCCCACACACCTCGAACAAAGCCTGTTCAGGATGGTGGAACATGACAAGCAGGGCATTTGATCCCATCAAGATGTTTAGTTTCCCACTAAAAAATAAAAACATTGCTCGCTGGAGTAAGCTTGCCTTTGCTAATGAAGAACTCCCAAGGTGTCGTAATGACAGCATCTCTAGAACTGGTTGGTACTGTCATTAAAAAGGACATTTCTGTTGTGCATTTTCCTGGAGGCAAAGTCCATAGAAAGTAAGTGATTTTGGGCTGCATAATCTATGAGCAGTGTCCAGGCAGAAAGTCCTTGCCCTGAAATAATATGCACATGCACGCAAACACACACACACACACACACACACACACCAGAGCTTCTCTCTGAGGCATAGCCCAGCAAGCAACCTAGACAAGTCTTCCAACTCCATCTCCATCTTGGCATCAGGGTGCACAAAAAGCACACCTGTAAGGCTGAAGGTGAGAGTTCAAGGTCAGAACCTGAGCAGGTGTTGCTGCCCGAGCTCCTCTGCTTAGGTAACCTGCAGACACTTTAGCCCAGTGGTCCACCGAACTGCACAGCCTCATTCACTCTCCCCAGCACAAGTCAGCAACACCAGGGCCAGGGTCTCCGTCCTGGAGACCCTCCATGCCTGGCCTGTGGTACGACAGTGTGCCTTGCTCGTATGTGTGGTCCCTGCACAGTGGGGGGCTGCAGCTTCCCCGGACCCATCTGCACATACCAGAGTGTCCGACAGCAGGAACAGCTCGGGCACAGAACCTGCCTGAGAGGGAAGCGAATGGATTTGTTCCCTGTGCATGCTCACTTTCTTCAAGGGCAGCACTCAGGTTTCTGGGGAAGATTTGTGAGGCCTGGGTTTCTTCTGTTTGCCCCTGCTTTAGGGGCCAGCATCACAACTGCAGCTGGGCAGGTTAATCCACAGAGCTCTGGTGTTTACCACATGTCCTGGGTATTGCATTTCAGTGCATTATAATATCAGCCACAGTGCAACATTTTAACTTTCCATGAAATTGTAGTTTTGGGATTACCCCCTTCGTTGTTTCTGACTACCTGCCACTACTTATGCCCCATACTGCTGTGCCACTATGACCTCAAGATCCTCTTCTATTTATTTTTTTTTTCTTTTTTAGTGATAGATACTGTAATATCTTTTTTAAATGCCAAGGTCCAATAAATTCCACTGAATGTCTCCACTTATGTCAGTGTTCAAGCTGATACCATTGGGAGACATTTTGGCCCACTGATTTTGCAAAAAAAAAGCAGTACTTTTCACTCACATCTTTTGTTCTCTTATTGTTAGTGCTCTGTGACGTGTGAAAAAGGAACACAGAAAAGATTCCTAAAATGTGCTGAAAAGTATGTTTCTGGGAAGTACCAAGAGCTGTCCTCAAAGAAGTGTTTGCTTCTGCCAAAGCCCACCCTGGAGCTGGAACGTGTCTGTGCCCTGTCTCCATGCCCCAAGCACCTCTCATACGCTGCAGCAGGCCCCCCGAAGGGCAGCTGGTTTGCCTCGTCCTGGTCTCAGGTAGGGGAAGCTCTAAATTCCCAAAAACTGTGGGCGAGTACAGCTTCCTGACCCAGGAGTTGGTGGCTGGCTTCCTCGTGGAGGT